TGAAATGTTTTGTATCACAACATTACAAGTGAAATGTTATGTATTACAACATTACAATTAAAATGTTATGTATCACAACATTACAATTAAAATGTTATGTATCACAACATTACAAGTGAAATGTTATGTATTACAACATTACAATTAAAATGTTATGTATTACAACATTACAATTAAAATGTTATGTATCACAACATTACAAGTGAAATGTTATGTATGGCAACTTACAAGAAAAATGAATAGTACTTGAAGTAACAATGGAAGTTGGAAAATTTAAGAGTAACAATTGGAGCAAATAAATCTGCACAGGAATATTGGTAAAGTGAAATAAGTGATAGAGATGGATGTTATAATCTTATGTCCACATTTTCCAAGGCACAAGATGTCACTTTTCAGGATTTTTTTTTCGTTTGTCAAGTAAAACATTGTAATTCTCTAAACTTTGAAAACTTGTATTAAATAGAAAAAGGAAACGACTGTCTTTGTCATTTACTAAAAACTAATTTTAAGTCAGTAATCGTAACAAGATGTTTGTAACTCCATTGAAATAACAGGGTGAGGCAATAAAAAACTTAGCCAAGATTTGTGAGCCCCGAGGAATTGTTGGAACTATGGAGACCAACTTCTCAATTGCTGTCGTGACCCTAAGTGCTTATTATGTTTGAAGTTTCAGTTATAAAATAGGATCTGTTCTTGTTTTTTTTCAAATTCTGAGATGTTAACTGAAGAAGTGATCCTACAAATACAGTTTAACAAGGAAAAACAATGTTACTTACAACGTTTAAAGTGCCAGGTTGAATATAGGATTGGAAAGAAGGGATTCTCTTTTCTTGTTTCTAGTTATTTTATTTCAGTTTCTCCATGCTTCCAGGTTTGAACGAGTTTTGCAGACATGTCATATCGCCCGAAAGTGTGCATTGTGTTATTCATACATGTTAAAAGAATCATTACAGTATTCAAGGTCACCCAAGGATACGACAGTAGCTTCGCTAGATGTTACATGTCCACAAAAATGATAGCGGATATGTACTGTCCTGGCAACTGTTTGTATCCATAGAAAAGTGTTGTTTTTTTATCTGTTGCAAGGCACTCAGGCAGATGGGCTTGTTTTGCCGCTTTATTGCAAATGACCACAGGTGACCCCGAAATTGAACGCGGGTTCGATTCGAATTGCCCAGATCGAACATTCGAATTGCCCAGATCGAACACGATCGAACACAGTTCTGATTCTATTAAATGCGGGAACTTTGCAGCCCAGATTTTACCACCGTGGTTTAATTAGCCAATGTCTACTCTTTCCGGCCGCAAACACCAACGCGTCCAGTCGATCGGTGCCTGGTTTCACAGTACGCGGTACAATCACGTGGCCGACATCCTCTCGAGAGGATAGCAATGCGTTATCACGTCCTCTGGAGGACGGGGGAACGTCCTCCAGGCCCTTACTTATGCACTTATTGGCATGCCTATAAGTCCTTTACTATCTGATATTGGTTTTGTACCCGGTGATTGGTAGGGGCTATAGCTAAGGATCACCGGCGTTTGCTAGGATCGGACAGAAAACCACAAATGCAATATTCTTTCCATGGGTAACATTTAGTGTGATTAGACGTCTATGCTAGTGTATTAGCTACAGATTTAGCCAAACAATATCTTTTTAAAAGTCCAAATGACCTTCAACCTGCCTGACTGTAAGCTTGAGTGATTTTTGACGAGAAACAGATTACAAACATTAGTGCCCATATGGTGAGACCGGTTTGTGACGCCAGTCAAAGTTGCCACGTCATTCTGACAGGCGACTGAGTATACAACAAGACAGCTGAAAGCAAGCTACGTGCATTAGACCGGGACTTTAAAGCAAAGAACACCGTTTCTCTTCTCCGGAATCTGGTGAGCTTTAGCACAGTAGTAAGTGGAAGCATGGTATGGGATGAAAATATCATTGCTAAGCAGTGGAACATGCCATTAATGACACCAAGCTACATGTATAGTTTTGTTGTTGTTACAATAGATTACTACAATGTTTACAATATTATTACAGGGCGCCATATCTGAAATTTTGGATTTGATTATGAAATGTTGTACAGTAAAAGCAATAGGCATCAATACTGCAGGTAATATTTCACAGTCGCTACACACAGTCGCTACACACAGTATCAATAATTTGAATCACAGCTTCATTTGGTCTAGCTTTTCTCCAGTTTACTTGCGTAAGTTTGTAATTAGACATTAGCCTCTACTTTCCATGCCTTCCTATGGTGGTATGAATTGTAGAAATCGACCAAACAGGAGAGAATCATTGGCCATACAAGTCAGTCCGTGGGGAGGTTGATTTCTCCCGTCGAAGGTGTAGGTGAATAAACTAACTCTACAGTGACCAAAAACTCCACAAGGCCAATTATCCCCCCTTTGGCTAAATTCAAATGCTTTTTAACCTTTGTTTTTATTTTCTCTGTGACAAATGAGACGCTGTCTGTATTTACAACACAGAGACTAGTTTTCTTACTTGACAAGAACATTTTTCAGTCAATTAGTAACCATTCCACGTACACCCAAGCATTCTTATGAGGTTTAGTGGCTCACTGAGACTGCCATGGTAATTAACCTGTCTTTATTGATGATTTAGAATGTCCTTGTGCCTTTATTCCAGGTTCCTTCCACCTTTGGAAAGTGTTGCACTTGAACCATGGGGAAGATAAAAGTCATACTTGTTGTCCTATTGGGGACGGTAAAAGGGTGAGTCAATGAAATTCACAGATTTTCCTATTCATTTATTCAATTTTACAGGTGGGTGGCCAATTCAATTTTGTCGAAGTCATGTTCAATGGGGCCAAGAAAAACACAGTAAATCATCAGTATAACAAAGAAAAAATTGTAACATACATGTACATATAAGTAAAAGACTACTGTGAGACATCATTTATACAAGTAACCTACAAATTACATATTAGATATATACATGTGTTACATGAGAACATTGAATAAAGTAGATCGTGAAAAACAGATTAGAATCGTTATGAAATACTCGTAACCGTTACCATTCCAAAATTTGAACAAAATTTACTACATTTCACAGGATCATGTCACAGATTTTTTTTACAGGTTCAGTACGGATAGGTTTAGACGGAACACCCTTTCAGTGCCCCAAATTGGGGTTGAAATTACTTGAAAACCTCGAGTACATATAATTATAGCCCCTCGAGCTACACGCTTATCGGCACAGTAGCTATTGATCTAGAATAACGATGACTCCAGTCATGTGGAAGCACCGATACCACAAAACATATCCACACGCCAACACAAACGCATTCGGCTACACACACACACATACACACAAATACACACACACACACACACACACACACACACACAACACACACACACACAAACACACAAAAACACACAAACACACACACACACAATACACATAAACATACACACACAAACACATTTACACAAACACACACACTTTTACCCCTCACACAACGTCTGATTGAATTCAGAGACGTCGAGACATTACGTAATTTACACCGCCCCAGGCTCGCAGCTCTGTCGTGTTTACCATGTGGTACGTACACCTGCCCTCCCCTGCCGAGCTGTCAGGGTGACGTCACCAAGGATGCGTGTGGCTGCTGTGACGTCTGTGCTAAAGTGAGTTTAAGAATTTTGAACTTTAGCCAATGCTATCTATTGAGCTATGAAAATTGTAGATCCATCATTTTCACCATGTGCTACTATCTACACTTGCAACACTAGAAATACCCCCCCCCCCCAAATTTGTTTCTAATACAACAGTCGTGCAGGTTCAGCTGGCGTCCGGGGGTAGTCTGATTATATTTGGGTCACGACCACCTTTCGATATGAATCGAAATGAATTTAAAATAAATTTAGGTCAAATTTGTCCCCCGAGAACGCCTCTTATGTAGACCCGAATGGTTGGCTGGTGTTTTGCCGACTTAGTCAAATACTGGCTTGCGAACCATGTTCAAACGTTCCGACCAAGCACCGAATGCTTTAAACATTTTGAGTCATGTAGTGGAATTGACCGAACACCAGATAGCCCGGCCGACTTTACGCCGACCTGGTGGTGATGGTGGAAGTTTTGGGGGATTCAGCTAGTGGGGAGGGATAAGTAAATCGCCAAATGCATGCACAGAACGATATATTTTGGGACTACTAGTAATTTTTTAGATAATGTTTTCCCTGGGTAAATTTTGCCCCGAAAGGCCCAATTTTCTTGTAAGAAGGACAGAAGAATGTATATTTTTAAAAACATGGCCAAAAAGTGTGACCTTTTCCATGGTTTGACATGTCATTGACCTCTAAATACCTGTTCTCTGTGTGGACTGTCCCACTTTGCCAGGGGGTGAAACCCTGGTATCTTTTCAATACTTTGGCTGTAACTCATTAAAACGCACGAGTCGAACTTCCACTGTTTGTACCAAAAGACACCTGACAAATCTAGCTTTGCAGTGAGGGTAAAGACTTGAGGTCTGGGATAAAGGTAAATGTGTTTTAAAGTGCTTGTTTCTAGTGGTTTTAAATGTGTTTTAAAGGGCTTGTTTCTAGTGGTTTTAGCATATATTTCCAATGGGATGTCCTTATGCTGGTCCCTGCCCTACTGTTGGGGAGGCTAAGTTCGTTAGGGTGTGGCAGGGGCTATATGTTTGCCTTTTATAGCTTCTATATATACAAACTCGGCCACTCAATGATGATTTCCAAGTAAAGGAGCGGTCACATTTCCCAACCCAGTCGTTTGGAACGAAAATTATGATATGAGACAGCAAAACACACACAAAAAAAATGTTTCAGAAACTTAACCATGAGCACTACTTGTATACTCTTAATACAAATTGTTTATTTTTCGTTCACGTAAACAACCCGGCCGGGCCCCGGCTTTAAAATGTGACCGCGCACTATAGCTAACACACACACTCTTTATTGAATCTTTGCAAGCCTGGACACACATAAACAATACAAGAGAAGTTGTTGATTAGATTCCAGGTGAAAGCTGCGGTGGTCAATGGAACATTAGTGGTACATGCTCCAGCGGACTGACTTGTGTCGTAGACCCAAATGAACCTTTGGGCAACCAGGCTACTGGAACATGTGGTGCGTAAATATACATTCAACAAATAGTTGGTTTAAATAGTAACGTTTTTTTCATCAGGGCTATAAAAACCGATTAACTGTGCATTAGAGCCTGGTGTTACATGGTCTGCAGTGCACTGAAGCTAGATTTTACCATACCAATGCAGTTTCGAGCGCAAAGCAATTAAGATATACATCTACAAAAGTAATTATTGCAACCTAGTGTTACATGCGGTTCTAAATGTTAAGTATTTCTAAAAAAATAAATTTAATACAATGTAAATCTACAATGTTAATATCGTTATGTAATTATACAAATATTTGTTTTCTTCATGTATCAAAATACAAATACATTTGTCATTATCTATGGAAATATGATTTTGTAGGAAGGAAATGTGAATGGGAAGTTTATTGCAAATTTATGCCAGTAGGCTATTGAAAATTACAAACGTAAAGAAAGCTAGGGCATATTTTGTTGACCGTTTCAAATAATCTCTTTTAGTGACGTATTGAGGTAATAAAGTGGATTCCATCCTAATATATTCTTGATAAATCTTGGTTACTAGAGGATTCTTTCAGCAGTGACAAGTTTTTGAAGGGTAAGGATACTAACCTCCAAATTTTCGATGACTATCAGTCCATCTTGTTCACGGAGTGGCCTAGTCTCGCGAGAATGCGAGACTAGGCCCGAGACTTGCATCAGTCTGCTGGGCCCTACTTCCCATTGCCTCCTTTCGGAGCAAGGGTAAAGTATGTTTTGGGGAGCTCCCATCCTTCCGACCGGTCCGTTCTCGCGAGACTAGGCCACTGCGTGAACAAGATGGACTGATAGTCATCGAAAATTTGAAGGTTAGTATCCTTACCCTTCAAAAACTTGTCACTGCTGAAAGAATCCTCTAGTAACTGTATCTATACGTGGCAAATGAATCTCTTCAATTGATATATCGTATCCCTAGTATGTCCTCCAGACAGTAGTTGGAACAGCTGTGGGACGGCGTGTCCGAAAACATGTGATGGCCGTCCGTTCGCCTGCGCCGCGGTCTGTGTCCCCCGATGCGAATGTTATCCCTGGTACGTGCTGGACAACGGCAACTGCATACCAGAGGGCTTATGCAGCAGCGGCAATGATTGTAACTATGAAGGCCAGCATTATAACGTAAGTCATATGTCTTTAACATGTTTAAACTTCATTCCTTATTACAAAATAACCTTTTTGTGAGGTAAATGAGTCATCTTTGCACATTTGAGGAATATATTATTGCTGCCAAACGTTCTTGTTTGTTTGTTTTATTTTCATCCCCATTAGTGCTTGAAATCTTCCTGGGGCAGTCAACATAATAAAATGAATTGTAAAACACATAAACACGGCCTACCGGGGCGGGAGGGGGGGCGAGATCTACGGAGGCGGGGCGAAACCGCTAGCGACCTCACCCCCACTCGAAGAGCGAAATCGCTGGGGGGGGGGGGCAGGAGTCTACTGAGGCGGGGCGAAATCGCTAGCGACCTCATCCCCACTGGAGAGCGAAATCTCTGGGGGGGAGGCGAGATCGCTGTGACACCGGTAGTTCCTCTTTTCTGGCTCGCCTTTTCTGCTGTGCGGCAGTTCTGTGTGCTTACAAACTTTCAGACTTATAAACAGCTAAACGACGCATCTACAGCGTTACCACTAAACCAGCCATGAAAGTTATTTTGATACACACCTACAGTATGATGCATGTTTTATGTACCAAACTCAATCTCTACATTCCGTAGGATGGGGATGAGTGGGCCGTACGGGACTCGCCAGGGTTAGTTTGCCAGTGTGACGGTACACAGGTGGTCTGCTATGTTGTTGACTGCGCTCCTGTCTACAGTCATGTCATCGGGAGCAACGGACTGTGGACATGCTGGCGACAACGTTTGTATATATACAGTCTTTCACAAAACGCCACTCAGTAAACCTGTCCAACATTTCATGCAGAAATCTTTGTTAAATCAGGTCATCCTTTTTGGATAATTATATCTTTGTTAACACACTTGTTAGGGTCACAGATATGGGCACCGTAAAAGTATGTTTCCTAACGAATGATATTTGCCGTCTGAATAGTCAGTTCAGCACCCAGGGCAGCCTGTAGTCATAAACTCACCTTTAGTCATACCTGGGTACAATCTTCTCTCATGTATGTAATCCTTGTTATCAGGACCACACATTTTGTAGCCTTGATATTAGCATTTCATACATGGTTTTGAATACTATAATAATATAGGTCTGAAAAAAGGAGTTTTATTACATTAATTCCCTTGTACATCATTACTTCTGCCATTAAGGCAGACTTTCTTGACAGTTCTAAAAAGTAAAGATCATTAGGTTTTTATTGATTTATAACACATTGGGGGTATTGCGAAGGAAAGGAAGATAAAAAAAGGTAGTGTCCCCTATTGGAAAGGGGTCTGGAAACCCCAGCACTGAGTCAGAAACTCCAGCAGCTTAAGGGTTAAGATTTTATTTGAAAATCCATTTCGTGATATCATTTATTCTTATCAGTACTAAGGGTAATATTGCAAGAAAAAAAACAAATCCTTACGTTCACCTTATACGTCTTGACACATGAAACTGCATGTCAAGAACAAATAAAAATGCATATTTTACTGAATGAATGGTGGTGGTAAATTGAAATAATGAGAATAACAACAACAACACACATGTTGGTCCTTTTTGGCAACCAAAAAAGTGTCTATCAGCCTTTCTTCATTTGTTCCACAGAACGGTGCCCAACGGGATACACAGGCCGAGGTAAAAACTGTTACGATTTTGTAGAGACCCCGGCCAGTTTCCAGGACGCAGAACGGCATTGTGTCCAGGACGGCGCCATACTGGTTCGCATCGACCCCAAAAAGATGCACGTGTACAAGCGTCTGCAGGTAAGCACAATATGCGTGTATATTAGGCATTAGAATTAAAAGAAATTGTGTTTGAAAAGTTTTGTTGCACAGTTTCATTTTATGCATGTGGGCAATTTTTGTGTGCTGATATTTAAATCAGATCATCATTTGTGGTTACAAATTCAATTTGAAAATTCAATTAGAAACATAGATACCGAATTATTAGGAATTATGTAATCCTTTGGAATCTTAAATTACCCAATGGCCATATATATTGGCCAGTTATCCAAGCTGGCTCCCGCTGATTTTGAGAGCTTCACTCCGTTTCCTGTGACCCACCTTTTGACCTTGTCATTCTGCCTGACAATCCCTCCACAAATACACGTGCTGTCAACCTTCTCTGTTCAAACATACATGTATTGATACACAAATCCACAAGTCAGCCACTTAAAACAACACTCCTGTGCCTAGGAATTATTAAAGAAAATTATGACCATATTCTTTTGACAGTTATGTTTTCAAATTTTCCTCAGCGCGCGGCTAGTCGAACTGGCTCTGACATGTGGATCGGACTGAGTGACAGGGTGACCGAAGGGACGTTGACCTGGAGCAATGGTGACCCCTACAAGATAAAGAAGAGCAAGCGAAACAAGTTCTGGGCCAAACGTGCTTGGGGACAGAACAGCGAGGATAAAGATTGTGTTTACATGAGTAGGAGCGATAAGTACCGTTGGCGCTTTGGCAACTGTGACGATGAACGTTCTTTTATCTGCAGGTTCATGGGTTAAAACTGCATTTATCGCAACCCTCCTTGCTCTCCAAGCAGATATCTTTAGCGTATTTTTGGTACTCTCCAATCAGACGTTTGGGCTTTTTTGGCGTGTTTTTAGGCTTTTGTATCGGGCGTCTTTTTTGCACCCGTTGGGTAGGCGTAGAAAAGATACCATACAAAAAAGCAAGCCCGATACAAAATGCCTATTAGTAAATAAGTCAAATCACAAAATTCTGCTTGGAGAGTATATTTTTGCGTGTATGTAGGCGTTTTTGTCAGTCTTTTCGATATTTATGCAAACCCCAGGTGTCAAATGGAAACATTTTGGTAACTGCATATTGCCGAACGAATTTAATTTTGCTCTTGTGGCCAACAAAAGATCTGCTTGGAGAAAGTATATTACCTATAATTCCTATAATTCTCTATGTACATGTATTAACATAATATTATAGCCCTGTCAGTCCCTTAACTCCTGTCTTGCTAACTATTTTACACAATATTTTCAAATAATTTAAGGTCTTCATCAGGTCATAGATCCTTGACTTTTACCCCGCGGTGGCGTAGTTACTTCCGCGTTCGTTGCGTTTTGCTGCAGTGTAATGCGTTGCACCAGAAATACCCCCAAATCGTACATATGCATTGTGCTATACTGTGTGCGCAACACATTTATTGGTCCCACAGGACAAGGGTTTTTAATTAATAACGTGATAGGAAGGCGTGAAGACGGAAGCGTTTGATAAATGCATGATGCTATAGCTGTCTTATTGGTAAATCCGTTAATTAGTATGCTATAAATAGCTGAATTTAATCTTGTTAATTATGATGCACTGTTAGGTTCGACTTATAACAGTTATCTGTTATACTAGTAATACGTTAGGTTGTGCCCACGGTAAGGTCGTGATCTGACTTTCAAATATTTTATTCCGATAGTTACCCTGCGAACGATTTTATTGTTATGTTCGTCAGAATACTGACACTTTTTATCAAAATTGCTCACATGGATTCTACTTTAAGTCAGACTTTATACTATATATCGTATCATAATGAAAGTCATTGTAAAACTTAGTTACAAAAATATGTCTTAAAAAATTGCCACAAAAATCTATTAGTGTCTGAATCTATTTTAGTGGTAAAATTTGTTGATTAATGCCTGAAAATTTGTCACATGTAGATGAAAGACGGTAGAACGGTACAGTATGAATGTTGGGCGTGTTCTATGTATTGAGTGCGTCTCTAGTCTTCGGTGTCGTAGGTAATATAATCGCTTTGTACAATTGTTTTGTTTCTAAAAATTGAATGTTGAAATAATAATGTGACTTAACTACCGTATTATTTTCTACTATTGAAAGCTACGTAAAAGAAATGCGCAGCAACTAACTTTTTGGTGAAAGCAAATGCTTTCATTTCTTATTATTATTAAAATGATTGCCAGGGTTGAATAAATAGACATGCTAGAAAATTGAAGCTTTGCTGTTTTCTTAACTTTTAGTCTAATATTGCCGAGGAAAGGGGTTTGACTTTTTAGTTTAGCAGGGAGGTGATGAACATCCTTAGAATCTCCCATATGTTTTGTGCTTCTTGAAGGGAGAAAACCTAAATCACGGTAACTGATACAAACCATAGCAACAAGAAATAAGACAAGGCTATTAATAAAGACAAAGTCAATGCTAATGAGTCAGTTCTTCTTGTTAAGGTACAGGAGCTGGTGTTGTCTTGTCTAGGGGCAAGGAAAGGTCACGAAGGGTTGAGGGTGGGATTGTACATTCTCGACATATTGTCTAACTTATTGTTATACCGACAATATGTCATATTCTCATTGCTAGACATACAATAAAACATGTAAAACTATGTACATTCTTGGCATACGTCTACGGCCGTTCGTAGTTTATTAGCAATACAACAATACAAGGAACAGACAACAGGTTTAACAGAAGACAGTGTGGATATTAAACGTATAACAACAAAGTGAGTCAGTTTAGGTAAGCAAAGTTCTTACTGCACAGTTTATTCAACAGTATCCAACTGTATCGTACTGCTAGTAAATCAGTAATAATACAGCTACTAGTCAAAATGAGAAATACAATAACTTTAAGAACTACTGTGTACGGATTGACTGATACAACCCAACAGATCAAAACTTAAACAGGTTTGATATCCTAACAACCGAAATATTTCTATGACATGCCATCTCGCTATGTTATGTAATGCTAAGTACATATACATGTACATACATGGTCACAGCATATTTCATGATGAATTACGTCTTGTACATTGTAGAAAAATCTTTCACGCGTGTATGCTTTTTGAAGAGAGAAAAACATATCTGGTAACATTCAATGTCACACTGGTAAGGATGGCTGTTGGCTGGTACAAGTCTTCACACATGTATGTCTCTTTAGACTACTTGGATAAGTGAAGCTTCTATTGCACAGTTCACAGTTGTAGGGTTTCTCACCAGTGTGAGTCCGCACGTGGCTCGCCAGATTACCCAGCTGACTAAACTGTTTGCCGCACTCCTCACATCTGTACGGTTTCTCACCAGTGTGAGTCTTCATGTGTTGTTTCACGCTACGGAGGTGGCTGAAATGTTTTCCACACTCCGCACATGTGAAAGGTTTCTCACCTCTATGGGTCTTTGCGTGTTCTTTCATATTATCTAGCCGACTGAACTGTTTGCCACACTGCCAAGCGGTAGGGTTTCTCACCGGTGTGAGTCCGCATGTGAGTTTTCAGATGACTCAGCTGACTGAATCGCTTGCCGCACTCTTCACACCGGTACGGTTTCTCGGCAGTGTGAGTCCGCATGTGGCTTGCCAGAGAACACATATGTCTAAAATGATTGCCACAGACCTCACATATGTACGGTTTTTCACCACTGTGGGTCGTCATATGCACCTTTAGATTACCTAGCCGACTGAACTGTTTACCGCATTCCTCACACAGGTAGGGCTTCTCGCCAGTGTGAGTCCGCATGTGACTCCACAGACTACTCGACTGGTTGAACTGTTTGCCGCACTCCTCACATCCGTACGGCTTCTCTCCAGTGTGACTCCGCATATGTTCCTTTAGAGTTCCTGGATGAGCAAACTGTTTGCCGCACTCCTTGCACTTGTAAGACTTCTCCCTTGTGTGGGTTAGCGCGTGTTTCTTCAGATGTGCCAGCCAACTGAACTGCCTGCCACAGTCTTCACAGCGGTATGCGTTGATACCAGTGTGTATCTTCATATGTAGCCGCAGTCCCTTCAGTTGACTGAACCCTTTGCCACACTCCTCGCATTTGTACGGTTTCTCACCAATGTAAGTTCTCACGTGTTCCTTCTGATGACCCAGCTCACTGAACTGTTTGTCAGAGTCCTCACATTTCTGTTGTTTCTTGTTCGTGTCATTTCCCGTGTGTGACATGTTGGACTGCATCTGTATCGTCGTGCTGTTGGTCGTCATGGCACAACTGTGTAGTCTGTGATGCTATCGATGAAATGGCTGTGAAAAAAAATAAGACAAAAATTGTAAAAATAAGCTTAAACCATAAACACAACTAGAAAATAAACATCGTTATACATTACTGAAATAATGAGACACATAATAAATATGAGTTTATTAAGAACAGACTAAATGCTATCTGTCAACAACATGCTTAGTTGATTAAGATTTATCAATAAATAAGGTATTAAAAACTTATATTTTCAAAGAACTATCGTCGATGGGAAATCGATGCCACCAAGAACAGTTTGGGAATTATCTCTTGAAAGCTTCCACAACTCCTGCAATTGAACGTGCAACGATTGGGTGGACGTTCGGTGTATTATAATAGCTAGCTGTCACCTTGCCGTGTGCCTGCAACGCTAGTGTATTACGACGAAGGGCGTTATGCCGACTCTACCGGTACAGATAACTTCGGACGTTATATTTTTAAGCGTAAGACTAGTAACCATTCCATGTGTACCCAAAAACCTTGCCGTAGAAACAACAAGGCTGACTTGCATTCCTGTGTGCCACTATGCCCGTACTTGTAAGAGACGGGAAACGAAACAACATAAGCTGTACTTACCAAAGAGCGACAGCAGGATGGTTTGAAGGCAACGCCGATTCTTGAGTCTTCAGAGTCAGGAATGATAAAATCAGACTGGTCAACTCTCTTATAAAGAAACTGATTGGGCAGTAATACCGGTTTGGTAGGTTTACACTTGATTTTGAAATAGGAAAAAGAACAATGCTTGCTACATGGATTTGCATAGAAATAGTTAAGACAAATGAATGAGGCAAAGACAAATTTCAGAAAAACTACGGAAAACAAGGAATAAGACAAAGCTAAGACAATGCTAATGTTAATGAGTGAGTTAGCTCTTCTTGTTTGAGTACAAGAGTCGTGTTGTCTTAAGAAGATGGCGGGACTGGATGGTAGAACTTGAAGGTTGACACGTAGGCCTTCTTTTGAGGGTGCACGGTGGTCAAATTCTGCCCTGGTCATGGAGAGTCCAACATGCATTATTGACGGCTCAATATGATTGTAACTGCTTTCCGACAATCGTGGGATTTCTTAAAAAATGCCCTCAATTTTGAATAATGGGTAATTTAGTGAAAAAAGGCAAAAAAATCCAATTTTTTTCACCTATTTGTCGACAAAAACTATGCTTTAAGTTGGAAATTAAAAAAAAAATCCCAAACACAACTTTTATATCACTCCTACATAGTCGTCGAAAAATATACAAATTGGAGATCTTGCGCAATATATGTAGCAACATTTAAACGATGATTGGCTAAAATATGGCACTCCGAAAATTATCGACTTTCCTAGCGAAATAAAAAAAACAACAAATTTTACGCAGAAATTACATTTGAATGTATGTAATGACGATATTTTTTTTTATTTCAACGAAATTTTCCTTCGATACTATTTTGTTTATTTTCAATTGCTTTACGTTTAACCTAAAATTGCGTATTGAAACCCAATACTTTTTCGAACGCCCCTAGCAATGGGAAAGAATGCCGTAGTGACAGACCGACGTGGTGGGACTGTACATTCTCTCATATATTGCCTGTCTAGCTGTTTGAAACAGCGAAGCTGGTGGTCTATTATGTATGTGAATTTGAGACCTCGTATTGTACCTGGTTGTGTTGAAATTGGTGAAACAGTACACAGGGGTAGTCGTTATTGCTATCTCTGAGAGGTCCATGGTAACTGTCCTTTTTGTTTTTGGTTGACTTGTCTCCCCATTGTAATAAAAAAAGGGCGTTCTCACAAGTAATTCTGTCTTAGATATGCCTTACATATTGCTCGTATGAAATATCTAAAGATCGGATACGCAACAAGCTTTCAAATAAATGAATTCAACTTCATTTTTCGCAAGTCACTGTCGAGGTCAAAAGCGCTGTGTAGCAGAACATAAAGCAAAAAAAATCTGATACAGTCATTAAAATTCTTAACAAATGAACAACACATTCAATAGATATAAACGAACGTGTTGTAAATTTTAGTCTCACCCCATTCCTATATGTACCGGTGCAATAGCTCAATTGGTAGAGTGCTCGCTTTGTAACCGGGAGGTCGTGAGTTCAAACCCCGGCCGGGTCATACCAAAGACTTTAAAAATACCCACTTCTTTTTCTGCTTAGCACTCAGCATCTATGTGAAAGGGTGTGGGAAGGTCACCCCATTCCTATATGTACCGGTGCAATAGCTCAATTGGTAGAGTGCTCGCTTTGTAACCGGGAGGTCGTGAGTTCAAACCCCGGCCGGGTCATACCAAAGACTTTAAAAATACACACTTCTTTCTCTGTTTAGCACTCAGCATCTATGAGAAAGGGTGTGGGAAGGTCAAACACACAGCACTACCAGCGTACCAGCCCCCTGCTGTAGTGCATTGCACAACTGTGTGTCGCCCAAGGGCTAAAGAAATGGATATGGACACCACCCTACGCTCTGCATAACAGCATGGGAGACCTTTCCTTTCCCCCATTCGGCAAAATTACTCTGCCATGCAACTGGTGTTTGAAAAAAAATTATTTCGTTCCAGCTTAAATATATCAACCAGAGATATCTACGCCATCCTTTTCAAAAGAAAAACACACTATTTGTGTTTATGGTTTATTACAACAATGCCTACAATACAAGGACCAGACAACAGATTTTAGAAAGGTAGTGTAAAAACAAAGACTTGCATCAGAACACAGACGCTTTAAGCGTAAAGCAAAAATAAGTACATGATGTAGAAGACGATGATTCTTCTTCATGGTCCTGCGAGACCGATTAAATGCCTACTGTACAGTGTTTCCCTTGTCCTGCTGTGCGCAACATATGTCGCGCGGCACATACGTATACAGTACCATCTATATTACACCCTGTATAGGTACGATTTGGAGGTATTTCTCGTGCAACGCATCACACCGCAGCGAAACGCAACGAATGCGGAAGTAACTATGCCACTGCAGGGCAAAAAAAATGTGGGGGTCTATGATCTAATTAAGACATGAAATTATTGAAAAATATTGTGCCAGGAATGCCAGCAGGACATAAAACGTATAATGACACGGTAAGTCATTCTAGGTAAACCACATTCTCATTTTTTCTAATCGTACCAGATCGTACTAAATAAGTATTGATATTATACAGGGATTAGTCAAAATAACAAATAAAACAACTTTACGAACTATCTGTTCTGCTTGACTAATACAACGCAACAGATAAAAACTTTAACAAACGGATTTGATACATTAACAACCAAAAAAAAATATAACCACAGACTTCACATTTGTAGGGCATGCGATTGATGTGTGAAAAAAGTTCTTTCGTTGTTCCAACTTAAATATATCAACCAGAAATATCTACTCAATCCTTCTCAAAAGAAAACACTATTTGTGTTCATGGTTTATTAGAATAATGCCTACAATACAAGGACCAGACAACAGATTTTACAACATGTAGACTAAGTGTTGATATAAAACGTATAACAACAAGGCAAGTCAGTCTAGGTAAATCAAATTCTCATCTTTTTTTTTCCTAATCCAACCAGATCGTACTGAATAAGTTTTGATATTTTACAGGGATTAGTCAAAATCACAAATATAATGACTTCAAGAACTATATGTTCTGCTTGACTAAAACAACGCAACAGATAAACAACCAAAAAGATTCTTTGACATTTCATGCAGAAATAATGCTAAGTATATTTCGTCACATGTATATGCGCTGAAATTGCATTATGTTCATCATATGACATAGTCTAAACGCATATAAACCTTTTTCCTTCCCTTCTTTTCTTATTGTTTTTGTCACCCGTTACCACACATTTCTGGAAACTTTCAATGTCACACTGGTAGGAATGGTTACTGGCTGGAATTAGTCTGCACACATGCATGTTTCTTCAGACTACTTGAATGAGCGAAGCTTCTGTGACACTGTTCACATTTGTACGGTTTCTCACCAGTGTGTGTTCGCATGTGACTTGCCAGATTACCCAGCTGACTGAAGTGGTTTCCACAGACCTCACACCGGTACGGTTTCTCACCAGTGTGAGTCTTCATGTGTTGTTTCACGCTACGGAGTTGGCTGAAATGCTTTCCCGACAATCGTGGGATTTTTGAAAAAATGCTCTCAATTTTGAATTATGGGTAATTTAGTGGAAAAAGGCAAAAAAATCAATTTTTTTTCACCTATTTGTCGACAAAAACTATACTTTAAGTTGGAAATTTAAAAAAAATCCCCAACACGACTTTTATATCATTCCTATATAGTCGTCGAAAAATATATGTAGCAACATTTAAACGATGATTGGCTAAAATATGGCACTCCGAAAATTATCAACTTTCCTAGCGAAATGAAAAAATCACCCATTTTACGTAGAAATTACCATTGAATGTATGTAATGACATCTTTTTTATTTCAACGAAATTTTCCTTCAATACTATTTTGTTTATTTTAAATTGTTTTAAGTTTAACCTAAAATTGCGTATTGAAACCCAATACTTTTTTCAAACGCCCCTAGCAATGGGAAAGAATGCCGTAGTGACAGACCGACGTGGTGGGACTGTACATTCCCTCATATATTGCCTGTCTAGCTGTTTGAAACAGCAAAGCTGGTGGTCTATCATGTGTGTGAATTTGAGACCTCGTATTGTACCTGGTTGTGTTGAAATTGGTGAAACAGTACACAGGGGTAGTCGTTATTGCTATCTCTGAGAGGTCCATGCATGGTAACTGTCCTTTTTGTTTTTGGTTGATTTGTCTCCCCATTGTAATGAAAAGGGCATTCTGACAAGTAATTCTGTCTTAGATATGCCTTACATATTGCTCGCATAAAATATCTAAAGATTGGATACGCAACAAGCTTTTAAATAAACAAATTCAACTTCATTTTTCGCAAGTCTCTGTCGAGGTCAACAGCGCTGTGTAGCAGAACATAAAGCAAAAAAAAAATCTGATACAATCATTAAAATTCTTAACAAATGAACAACACATTCAATAGATATAAACGAACGTGTTGTAAATTTTAGTCTGAACCCATTCGTATATGTACCGGTGCAATAGCTCAATTGGTAGAATGCTCGCTTTGTAACCGGGAGGTCGTGAGTTCAAACCCCGGCCGGGTCATACCAAAGACTTTAAAAATACACACTTCTTTCTCTGTTTAGCACTCAGCATCTATGAGAAAGGGTGTGGGAAGGTCAAACACACAGCACTACCAGCGGACCAGCCAGAGATATCTACGCCCTCCTTTTCAAAAGAAAAAAGCACTATTTGTGTTTATGGTTTATTACAACAATGCCTACAATACAAGGAACAGACAACAGATTTTACAAAGGTAGTGTAAAAACAAAGACTTGCATCAGAACACAGACGCTTTAAGCGTAAAGCAAAAATAAGTACATGATGTAGAAGACGATGATTCTTCTTCATGGTCCTGCGAGACCGATTAAATGCCTACTGTACAGTGTTTCCCTTGTCCTGCTGTGCGCAACATATGTCGCGCGGCACATACAGTACCATCTATATTACACCCTGTATAGGTACGATTTGAAGGTATTTCTCGTGCAACGCATCACACCGCAGCGAAACGCAACGAATGCGGAAGTAACTATGCCACTGCAGGGCAAAAAAATGTGGGGGTCTATGATCTAATTAAGACATGAAATTATTGAAAAATATTGTGCCAGGAATGCCAGCAGGACATAAAACGTATAATGACACGGTAAGTCATTCTAGGTAAACCACATTCTCATTTTTTCTAATCGTACCAGATCGTACTAAATAAGTATTGATATTATACAGGGATTAGTCAAAATAACAAATAAAACAACTTTACGAACTATCTGTTCTGCTTGACTAATACAACGCAACAGATAAAAACTTTAACAAACGGATTTGATACATTAACAACCAAAAAAAAAGATTACCACAGACTTCACATTTGTAGGGCATGCGATTGATGTGTGAAAAAAGTTCTTTCGTTGTTCCAACTTAAATATATGAACCAGGAATATCTACGCCATCCTTTTAAAAAAAACACTATTTGTGTTCATGGTTTATCAGAATAATGCCTACAATACAAGGACCAGACAACAGATTTTACAACAGGTAGACTAAGTGTTGATATAAAACGTATAACAACAAGGCAAGTCAGACTAGGTAAATCAAATTCTCATCTTTTTTTTTCCTAATCCAACCAGATCGTACTGAATAAGTTTTGATATTTTACAGGGATCAGTCAAAATCACAAATATAATGACTTCAAGAACTATATGTTCTGCTTGACTAAAACAACGCAACAGATAAACAACCAAAAAGATTCTTTGACATTTCATGCAGAAATAATGCTAAGTATATTTCGTCACATGTATATGCGCTGAAATTGCATTATGTTCATCATATGACATAGTCTAAACGCACATAAACCTTTTTCCTTCCCTTCTTTTCTTATTGTTTTTGTCACCCGTTACCACACATTTCTGGAAACTTTCAATGTCACACTGGTAGGAATGGTTACTGGCTGGAATTAGTCTGCACACATGCATGTTTCTTCAGACTACTTGAATGAGCGAAGCTTCTGTGACACTGTTCACATTTGTACGGTTTCTCACCAGTGTGTGTTCGCATGTGACTTGCCAGCTTACCCAGCTGACTGAAGTGGTTTCCACAGACCTCACACCGGTACGGTTTCTCACTAGTGTGAGTCTTCATGTGTTGTTTCACGCTACGGAGTTGGCTGAAATGTTTTCCACACTCCTCACATGTGAAAGGTTTCTCACCACTGTGCGTCTTCGCGTGTTCTTTCATATTATATAGCCGACTGAACTGGTTGCCACACTCCTTACACCGGTAGGGTTTCTCACCGGTGTGAGTCCGCATGTGAGTTTTCAGATGACTCGGCTGACTGAACTGTTTACCGCACTCCTCACACCGGTACGGTTTCTCACCAGTGTGAGTCCGCATGTGGCTTGCCAGAGAACACAGGTGTCTAAAATGATTGCCACAGACCTCACATCTGTACGGTTTCTCACCAGTGTGGGTCTTCATATGCTGTTTTAGACCACATAGCTGGCTGAACTGTTTGCCGCACTCCTCACACCGGTACGGTTTCTCACCAGTGTGAGTCCGCATGTGACTCCTCAGGCTACACGACTGGCTGAACTGTTTGCCGCACTCCTCGCACCGATGTGATTTCTCCCTTGTGTGTGTTAGCGCGTGTTTCTTCAGATGTGCCAGCCAACTGAACTGCATGCCACAGTCTTCGCAGTGGTAGGGCTTTTTACCAGTGTGTATCTTCATATGTAGCCGCAGCCCCATCAGCTGACTGAACCCTTTGCCACACTCCTCACATCTGTACGGTTTCTTACCACTGTGAGTTTTCACGTGTTCCTTCAGATGACCCAGCTCACTGAACTGTTTGTTAGAGTCCTCACATTTCTGTTGTTTCTTGTTCGTGTCATTTCCCGTGTGTGACATGTTGGACTGCACCTCTATCGTCGTGCTGTTGGTCGACATGGCACAAGTGTTTGGTCTGTGGTGATATTGATGAAATGGCTGTGAAAAAAAAAATTGTAAAAAAATAAACCATAAACACAACTAGAAAATGAACATCGTTATATATTACTGAAATAATGAGACACAAAATTAGTCAAGAATAGACTAAAGTCTATCTGTCAACAACATACTTAGTTAATTCAGATTTATCAACTATCGAACTATCGTCGATGGGAACTCAATGCCACCAAGAACAGTTTCGGCATTATCGCTTGAAAGCTTCCAATAACTCCTGCAATTAAATGTGCAGCGGTTGTGTGGTTGTTCGGTGTCTTATAACTAGCTGCCGCCGTACCGTGTGCCCACAAAGCTAGTGTAGTACGCCGAAGGTCGTTATGCCGACTATACCGGTACAGATAACTTCGGACGTTTTATTGTTAAGCGTATCTAGCAACCTTTTCACATGTACCCCATGCTGTAGAAACAGCAAGGCTAACTTGCATTCCTGTGCATTACTAGGCATGTACTTGCAGAGATACGGGAAATAAAACAACATAAGCTGTACTTACCAAAGAGTAACGCACAAACAAGCGACAGCAGGATGGTTTGAAGGCAACGCCGATTGTTGAGTCTTCAGAGTCAGGAATGATAAAATTAGATTGGTCAACTCTCTTATAAAGAAACTGATTGGGCAGTAAAACCGGTTTAGTATGTTTGCACTTGATTATAAGATAGGACAAAGAACAATGCTTCCTATGCCGATTTGCATAAGAATAGTTAAGACAACGCATAAAATACTAGTAGTGCAACGCTTTTCAAAGAACCAATGATGAGAAAGCTAAATAAAGATGTCCCCATGCACTCGGTCAAGTTAATACTTAGTACAGTAAAGTACATGTACGTTTGCTACGTAATATGTACATTATTGTAGTTACATTGTTCGGTGTCTACAACACAACCAGGGTCACTCTTTTAAACTGGAGTCCACGGAAATCTTAGACCGCGAAACACGCTGGTGGGAACGGGGTGTTAAAGAGGCAATGTATGAAAGAATATACAACCCCACCCTCAACAGGAGGGGGGGTCCAAACTGTAAACTGGATGGTTAAACTCCCTCGGCGTGTTGTATCTCTCTATTTGGCCAATTTCTACTATTTCCAGCCACGCTCTCAAGCCTGGTAGAGGCTATGGATTTTGAACCCCTGGCGGCTTTCCTTGATACTGCAGCAAAACTGTCGCCGAATTCGGTATGAGGTTAGTTCGTGACCTATCAAAGTAACGATTAGATTTTTAAAAAAACCACCTGGCGTTTCTCCCTGGTACTGCAGCAGAAATGTCGGTTTTTATCTCTCGTGTTCTGGACTTGCTAGGGTTAATGTTTTGGGCGGCCACCGAAAAATCATGACACACGAGCTTAAAATCTGATCTAATAGGTAACATAACCTCATACTAAATTTCTTGACAATATTAATACCTCTAAAGCTTCTTGAGTTACCTTGCTAAACCACACACATACACAGATGCATGTATGCCACATGCATGCATACATGCATACATACATACATACAAACATAGTATTCCATACATCAGACATATACATACATGCATACATACATAAATACATACATTGTACATAGAAACATAGAGACGACTTGTTTTAGGTATTTGGCTTCGACTATGGCTATGAAATCGTTTTGGTACTTTTTGGCAGATTATGCACGATAAAGTTTGAAGACATGGTTCGAGGTTCACAATTTTTAGTCGGCAGGTTGTCTTAGTGATGGGCATTGTCAAGGCGAAAAATGGGCTTCGTGGGGGGTTTTTACGTCACTGGAGCTGACCTTTGTGTTTGCGTTTTTTGTTGTACTCCAGATAACTTGGGAATCCTTAAATGGTTGTCTATGATTTTTAGTTGGCAAGTCGCCGTTGAGAATACGAAGGTCAAGTTTGGATATGGGCCTCGTGGGGGGTTCACATGTCATTGAATTTGATAATTCAATGATAATTCAATGATAATTCAATTTGATAATTCAATGATAATTCAAATTCATTGAATTTGATTATTCAATGATAATTCAATGATAATTCAATGATAATTCGGGATAATTCGAGAATCTGCAAATGGATGCCTTTGACCTAATATTACAACCAAAATTACCTAAATTTGGTATAGGAGTGCCTTTGACGTATGTCCAAAGAACTATACTCACATTTGTTGTAAACACTACTTTGAATTTGTGTAAAAAAAGTTTTTCTGCTCTTTCCAGACAAAATGCTTTTATGCCCTTGTATTAAAACCAAACGACCTGAAATTTGTTATAGATGTGTATAAAATTGTGTAAAATGGGTCTTTTTTGATATGCCCAAAGAACAGAGCTGTAAGGGTAGGGACCAGCAAATCGTCATGCGCAGAACTAGCAGTGTGTACACGATTTATTTCTGTACCGAAAATCAGAAAATCTAGTTTTGCCTTAAATAGGCCTAAAACACTCGAATTTTGCTGTACAATGTCTGTTGTAGTCACCATAAATTGAGAGACTTGGCCGAACTTATGCGGAAGTCAAATTTAGACGTCGACTCACATGAAATAACATAGAAAGTTAATTCATTTGAGAACATTTTATCGTCCAGAAACGATTAAAATTGCCCTTAACGGAGAGTCGGGGGGGGGGCAAAGGGGGAGGGGGCGCCTATAGCTAGGACCCGACATGTATATCCGGACTTTTGGACCCCAAAACAGTAGAATGATGCGTTTTTTTTTCTCAGAATCTGACAGCTGCGGCTAGAAACATTGGAATCAATCAAAATTACGTCATCGATGACGTAATTTACTGCGCATGCGCCGTCTTATTTTAGGTCTCGGAACGGAGTTTCCTTCCGTATTTCGAGCAATTTGACACCCTCAGCCCGACGGGCTGTCATTTCTGTACTAAACGCGGGTCGGAATTTTTCACTCTTTTGATGGAAAGGGGTGCCGTTCCGCTTACCAATAGACTTGATTGATATTTTATGCACCCAATTTATTTAGGGCACATCAAAATACATTTTTAACCCTACCTAGACCGGGCTTTTTTTGACATGGGGGGACGGGGGGGGGCTCTTTTGACCCCACCTAAGAACTCGCGAACGGTATGTCGCATGACCACCAAATTTTCAGAGAATGGTGTACTAGTAAAAATTTATCATATCTACAATTTTTATGTCGTTATGACGTAATATGACGCCATTATGACGTCATTAATGTGATTTTATTGGCCAAAACCGTCTAAATAGGTTTTCCCAGAAAACCTCCCTTGTATACAACATAACTTTACCAAAAGTGTTTATGACAGAATATTAGTGTGTACTAAGTCTTATGTTGCCCATAGCAACACCGGTGACGTCATAAAATGACGTCATGCATATTTAAGATATCCGCCATCTTGGATCATCAAGCTTGAATTTTCAAAAATAGTTTTTTTTTTCATGATAAAGCCTAAAATACATTGTAAACATACTAAACACCTTTATTCAAACCTTTTTTGTAAAAAGAAATGGAAGTATTGATGAAATTTTAATGAAAATAACCCGTATATACCTTTTCTAATGATATGGTCCGCCATCTTGGATTTTGACCAATGACGTCATCAAATTAGCATAAATTATGCATATTTAATGATAAAATTTACATAAAATTATATGGGATGTTATTAATATTAGAAACCATGAGTAACTTGACATAAAACCCATAAAATTCTATTGTTGAAACAAAAAGTACTAAATTTAGCAAAAAATGCCTGTCAGAAACCCGTTGCCATGGCAACACAAAGAATTATTATCTTATTCCAATGATAGAGAATTGTTGCCAACAATATTTTAGGAAAAGTCACCAAGTTTGGTCGTTCCTTCTTTCAGGCGTCACGCCAATACAGCAGGCTCAGAATTATTGGTGGACGTCAATTGCCTCAGGTGCAAGTAACCCTAACCCCATCTACAACTCCAGAGAAGGTAAAATCACTTTTTGCAAGACTTGTCTAACTACAAAACAGCATCAACTGTACCCCCCCCCCACTTTAAGTCCAAACCTAGGATCCTTGAAATGAGCTTCAGAAGTAGATGTCTATTAAAAACAATTTACTCGTGCACGTATTAGCAGGCTGTTTCTCGAATATCCATTGTAATTTGGAAATGATCAGAATGAAGATCTGGTACTACTGATTAGTTCGAATATCTCTTTAGGTATGATGTGTTGTGTAG